AAATCCTGTTGCTAAACTATTTCCTCAGGACCAGCTTTAATTCTATATTTAAAGTATTTACTTTCACAGAGCACGAATCCCAACTATTACAGTTTTATGGTTTAAACAGAGCTCTGTAAGACACTGCATTTCAGGATCAAAACAGGGCCACTGTAACATTTTAGTTTCACTACTACAGAAATGCAATTTATACATTCATTAAATATTACTTACACCTATGTCATTCATAGTAAATAGGGATAAAGCTATGCACCTCTTTATAGGCTCTAATCTAGTTAACATATTATGGTGAAAATATGATGTAAGTAACTAAACATTCAAGTTTACCCTGAGTTTTTTGTTCAAGTAACCGTCTCCTTTCATCCATGTCTTTTTCTGGAATGCCCTCCATACCATAGATTTCCAGTTCAATGTCCGTTCTTCCAGGAATAGCATTTGGAACAGCATCTATTGTTTCTTTATGCACCTAAACCAAAAAAGTTAGATTCTTTTATTGCAATCAGCTAAGATTTTTGTGACTGATAACATTACTTCTACAGGTTTCAGAGTAACAACCGTGTTAGTCAGTATTCGCAAAAAGAAAAGGAGTACTTGTGGCACCTTAGAGACTAACCAATTTATTTGAGCATGAGCTTTCGTGAGTTACAGCTCACTTCATCGGATGCATACTGTGGAAAGTGTAGATCTTTTTATATACACACAGAGCATGAAAAAATACCTCCTCCCACCCCACTCTCCTGCTGGTAATAGCTTATCTAAAGTGACCACTCTCCTTACAATGTGTATGATAATCAAGGTGCTGGAAATGGCCCACCTTGATTATCATACACATTGTAAGGAGAGTGGTCACTTTAGATAAGCTATTACCAGCAGGAGAGTGGGGTGGGAGGAGGTATTTTTTCATGCTCTGTGTGTATATAAAAAGATCTACACTTTCCACAGTATGCATCCGATGAAGTGAGCTGTAACTCACGAAAGCTCATGCTCAAATAAATTGGTTAGTCTCTAAGGTGCCACAAGTACTCCTTTTCTTATTACTTCTACAGGCAGTGTCAAATCTTACAGATTATTCTGTTAAGGCTATCCATTTTGTCACCTCAACTCAAATCCATAACAAATGCACATATGTTTAGTTAAATAATAATTTTCCTTTTAAAATCTGTAACTAACATCTACTGGTAATGTCTCTCCCAAACAGCTGCAATTTGTGTTGGCCCCTACATGAAAGTGTTTTGAGCAATTTGTTCCATTACATTTATAATACATTTAACGCTTTTTACTCTGTATCAGATTGCTCAATAACCTAACTTTTGGGGGAGGGGAAAGATGTGTCCAGTCATACTTTCGCAAGGAAAAGAAGTGTCTTTTAAACTAAGGGATGCTGCTAAAGATGGGCATGTGCTACTGTACATTATTCACAGTTTAGCTTAGGTAAGAACTACATGGTATATCCCTTTTTTTAATACTACTTTAACTGCCTTTGTAAATACAGCCTCATGAAGAAAAATTTTAGTCTTTGGCTTGGTCTACACTTAAAAGTTAGGTTGACATAGCGACATCTGTCAGGGATGTGAAAAAAACACATCCCCGATGGACACAGTTATGTCGACTTACCCCCAGTGTAGACGCAGCTATGTTGATGGCTACCATCATTTTGGAGACTTGGTATTCCTATACAGATGGAAAAACCCATCAGTCAGCACAGGCTCTGTCTACACTATGGAGTCATGCCAGCATTATGCAATGTAGCTATACTGGTATAGTCTCTGTAGTTTAAACATATCCAGTAATAGGTTCAGACTAAGAAGTGCATTTTCCCTTGTCAATATAAACTACACAGATGCTAAAGCCATTTTAGGAACTTGTTTTCTGGATTTAAAACCAACTAATACATCCTCCCCAATGTCAAGTGTGAATGAAAGGCCAAGATGATCTGTTTAATCTATATGCTATCATGTACATTTGTGACAGCATTACTAAAACCAGTGAGTTTATAAAAAGGGATGTATGTTCTTGTATTAGAAATAGAGAAGAGAGACATCAATGTTTCCTAAACAAGGCAACTGTAGCAAAGTTTTATTTGAGATTCTAGCAGTAATAAACAAATAATCTTAAAAAAGTTTTTAATGCAGTATCACTCTAGGGACAAACTGAACATGAGGCAAGTTATGCATATATTTAAAAAAAGCCTTACCTGCATACAATGTATAGCTAAACCAGGTCCTGTATACAGTTTCTTATGACATATATGGCATTTAAAGTGCTTTGCTTTTTGATGCTGTATAAGGATTTTCTCATCATCAAAATCCCTGTTGCAATACCTATTCAAGATTATTAAGGACATTCTGAAGCTTTAAGATTTTTGTATCAAACAGCTTAAAGGAATGGCAACAGGGAAAAAACCAGGGGAGTTAGATCAAGTGTAATACAATTCTGTCAAAAGATGAATTTAAAACGGTGGCTAGGAAACAAAATTTTGGCTGCAGCAAATTGAACTGATCTTTAATGCTGCCTTCAGAGCAGCAGTCAATCCTTTAGGAGACTGATGGAAGCACCAAGTCTCATTAAATACCAAGGTTTCTCTGATTGTTGTATGCAGCGCAGTTGTAGCCCTGTTGGTCACACAAGGTGAGTGAGGTCTCTCTAAAGTTTCTCTAAGACAGTTTTACGGCCTCTCCCTGCAGAGATGAAGATTTTTTCCATCTCCACGAATCCACACTGTCCCAGCTAGCAGCAGCTTGCTGCGGACAGTGTCATCTATTCCTGCGGAGACTCCTCCGCTCACCCACTACCGCAGGCTCGCTAGGAGCTCGGTGGAGCTGGCGGGGAGGGAATACCAGGACACAAACACCACCCAGCTGAAATTCCAAACAAGGCGGTCGGGAGGCAGAAGGAGCAGGCCGCGTCCCGCAGCGCAGGGAGAGGGGAGAAAGGGAGAGAAAAGCCCGAGCCCAGGCCGCCTCCTGGTGAGGGAAGGAGAGCGCGGGGCGACTCCCGGTGAAGGACGGGGGGGGGGACGGAAGGAGAGCCCGAGTCGCGGGACCAGGCAGTGAAAAAGTGGAGGAAGAAGAAATTGAGCGAGTGCGGAGCATCCCGGCCAGGAGATTTGGGGGGGGGGGGAGCAGAGACTAGGCCACGTTCCGGGGTAACAGAGACCAGGCCGCGCTCTCCCTTTTACCCCCACCCAGTCCCGGCCGGGAAGCCATCCCGTTCTGTGGCAAAGGATATCAGCACCAGGGCTTCAGCTGCTTCTTCTTCTTCCGGCCCATCGCGGTGGCGCTACCGAACTAGAGAAAGGCGAGAAGCAGGCACCAGCCGGAGGCCTTCCAGCGGCCTCTCGTAGGAAGACAAAATGGCCGCGCCGCTTCCTCCTGCCGCCGCCTCCAAGCCCTGGGCTTCCCAGGATGCACAGCAGCAGCAGCCGCGGCGGGGCTGTCACGTGACGTCCACCAGGCGCCCTTTGCTTCTGAGTCTCCTAACAAACACCGCGATGGCTGACGGCCGCCATTTTGTTTCAACCTCCTTTCACGTCCCGCCTAGGGGCGTAGAACCCTCTGTCATGACGCCCTGGTGGCCACAGGGAGCTGATAAGGGTGAGGAGGGAAGGGATTCGGATACCCACCAGCGAAGAGGTTTAAGGTGCCCACAGGCTTGTTGGACAGGACAGACTGTGCCATTGTGATGTGGCGTCTTTGTGTCACTAGGCAACATCTGCAGGTGCCTGCAGACCCCTATCTGCTGACAAAACAGCACTCCAGAACATCACCACAACCTCATTGCACAGCAGCACCACAGCTTCATTGCAAGGCATCACAATGGTAGCCTGCCACAACCAAAACATTCCTTTCCCCTGAAAAAATCATCCCTGTCCTCAGGGGTGTTCCGACACCAACACCTCACGTCAGGCCCTTAACTAAACAAAAACATCATCCCTTCCTCTCGAATGTCAGCACAGCATCACCACGTGCCTTCCCCAGGCCGATGCACTGTGTGGTGGCGCTGAGGGAAAACGCCATTGTGTCCCCTCAAAATATCAACACAATGTCATGTAGCCTTACTGCACTGATGCACTGTGTCATGGCACTAAGGCAAAACGGGTGGAATCTCGTCCCCTCAAAACAAGGCCTAAGTGGCAAACCTGACAGTCCCAGCACAGAGACCAATGAATGAACTATAGAGACTGAACCATCATAGTCACCAAAAGAGGTGGTCACACCAAACTTGTCCTTGAGGCATATTGGCTGAGCTGTTTGGAGAAGCTTGAATCATAGAATATCAGGGTTGCAAGGGACCTCAGGAGGTCATCTAGTCTTAAAGCAGGACCAATCCCCCAATTTTTGCCCCAGATCCCTAAGTGGCCCCCTCAAGGATTGAACTGACAACCCTGGATTTAGCAGGCCAATGCTCAAAACACTGAGCTATCTCTCTCTCGCTGTTGGGCAATACCATAGTTGTTCTATGGATAAACAGAGGATGTCATGCTATGGACATAAATTGTACTTTAAAATTCACATATGAAATGGTAATTGACAAGATATGTTTTTTCTTTGCAAAAAAACTTAATTTGCTTATAAAAGTACAGAAGAACTTTGAGGAATACAAAAGAGGATTTTTACCCTCTGCTGTAAAATTTAGGGATTTTCCCGCAAAGGATAAAGTGATTGGTGGATGGGGATTTAAATAGCTTCAGAGTTAATTTTAATTTTAAAATCGATCACTTAAACCTTTCCTCTGAGAGAGAGAGGGAGACTGCAAAAGATCCTAAATGAAAGATTCTCCCTCCAAACTGAATGAGGGCAAGCCTGGAATGGGGGCGGGGGAGAGAAATAGATTCAGAGCTGCCACATTGGGACTCTTTGAGAGATTTTAAGATTTGTGCCGAAATTGGAAATATCTCATGGGAATACACACAGCAACATCTTCCATCCCAACAGGGGGAGGCTGTGACACGTGCTCTACAATGCATCTGCCTTCCAGGAACTGAGAGCTGGAGCAGTAGTAATTCTAGGAAGCGGTGTCAGTGTGAAAGGCAGGAGAGGAAACAAGTGCAGCCGGAACCTGAGTGTTTGTGGCGTGAGCGGAGCAGGAAGACCAGCACCGTACCGCAGGAGACTAGAGGGCGGATTTCGTTGCTACACACGAACAGCTGCTGAGCTGGGGCAAGATGCTGCCATCTCTGCAGGAGTCTGTGGATGGGGACGAGAGGGAGCTGGAGAGCAGCGAGGAAGGGGGCGGCTCGGCAGAGGAGCGGAGGCCGGAGCGGTACAGTAATAGCTACTACTGTCTGTACAGCTACCAGGGCTACAGGTGAGGGGCTGGATGGATTCCTCCTCCCCAACGCGCTCCACAGGGCCCAGCCTTCTGCTTCTCTCCCCTTTCCTAGGGAAAAGTCCAAAGTGACCTGCAGGTGCCATCTCCCTCCCCTCACGCTGCTTCCTGCTGTCAACAGATGATGCAGCTGGAGGGGGAACGAGAGCAGGAGAGAGCGAGGCCGTTGTTAGCTGCCTTTAATTCCGGGAATGGAGGGAGGAGAAGGGAGGGAAGAGGGTGCAAGAGGATGCAGTGAGGGTGGCTGAGACTCGTAACGGTTTGGAGTGTGGTTTCCAAATAAAGGGGATGTAATCCATCTGGTTAATTACAGCTCATACTCTGGTCCTAGTGGTCTTCATGGCAAAATGGAGGGGGTGAGGGGAGAAAAGCGGTAGATGTGGTATATCTTGACTTCAGTAAAGCTTTTGATATTGTCTTGCATGACCTCATAAACAAACTAGGGAAATGCAACCTCGATGGAGCTACTATAAAGTAGGTGCAAAACTGGTTGGAAAACTGTTCCCAGAGAGTAGTTATCAGTGGTTTATCAGTGGTTTACAGTCATGCTGGAAGGGCATAACAAATGGGGTCCTGCAGGGATCAGTTCTGTTCAATATCTTCATCAATGATTTAGATAATGGCAAAGAGAGTACACTTATAAAGTTTGCAGATGACATCAAGCTGGGAGGGGTTATAGGTGCTCTGAGGATAGGATTAAAATTCAAAATGATCTGGATAAACTGGAGAAATGGTCTGAAGTAAATAGGATGAAATTCAATAAAGACAAATGCAAAGTACTCCATTTAGGAAGGAACAATAAGTTGCACACCTACAAAATGGGAAATGACTGCCTAGGAAGGAATACTGCGGAAAGGGATCTGGGGGGTCATAGTGGATCACAAGCTAAGTATGAGTCAACAGTATAACACTGTTGCAAAAAAAGCAAACATCATTCTGGGATGTATTAGCAGGAGTGTTGTAAGCAAGACATGAGAAGTAATTCTCCCACTCTACTCCACGCTAATTAGGCTTCAACTGGAGTATTGTGTCCAGTTCTGGGTGACATATTTCAGGAAAGATGTGGACAAATTGGGAAAAGTCCAGAAAAGAGCAACAAAAATGATTTAAAAGTCTAGAAAACATGGCCTATGAGGGAGGATTGAAAAAATTGAGTTTGTTTAGTCTGGAAAAGAGAAGACTGAGAAGGGACATGATAACAGCTTCAAGTACATAAAAGGTTGTTACAAGAAGGAGGGAAGAAGAATTATTCTCCTTAACCCCTGAGGATAGGACAAGAAGCAAGGGAGGTTGAGGTTGGACATTAGGAAAAACTTCCTGTCAGTGTGGTTAAGCACTGGAATAAATTGCTTAGGGAGGTTGTGGAATCTCCACCACTGGAGATTTTTAAGAGCTGGTTAGAAAAACACCTGTCAGGAATGGTCTAGATAATACTTAGTCCTGTCATGAGTGCAGGGGACTGGACTAGAGGACCTCTCAAGGTCCCTTCCAATCCTGTTATTCTCTGATTTTATGATAGTGTGTGTGTTTCCACTGCTTTACCACTGCCTAGCTGAGTTTGAGCTCTGGTTAAGTAGGGCTTATTTGTGCAGGGTGAGGAGATGAAAAACAGAAAAATGAATGGGACAATACCAGATTTTGGTGAGGAGTGGATTATTCTCACCCTTCCTTTGGCACCAGAACATACTGTGTTTTGGAGGGACAGCTCCAAATGCAGACTACTCATAAAGAGGGCATCTTGATAGGAAACTAAGGGTTTCCAGATAATGTTCTGGAAAGGTACATGATTGACAGCACTGAAGCTGGAGGTTTTCAGAGCACAGGCAACGGCAGAACTAAGCTTTCCTACATTGGCTACCAAAACCTTAGGTCTGAGAAGGAGTTCACCCTCCCTATCTATTCAGTTCTTAGCTGCTCTACTCCATTTTTTATGTCTCCCCTGGAATAGGGAACAAGTAATTTCTTCCCCTCATCATCGCCCCCTTTGTCCTCCACTCCATAGTACTTTCAAAGGCTGCTTCCATTCTGCACCATCCCCACAATGCTGCTTTCTCCTCTGCCCTGTTTAGTGGTAATAGACCTGTATACATGTTATATGTCCATATTTAATATCAGTCATAAAAATGCCTTGATTTTCAGTTCATCAGAGCAGGCTGTTGACAGTGATGATGGAAGTCCAAGCAGTGCAGCACCAGAAACTCCCTCTGCTGAAGACTTTAGGTAAAACAAACACAGCAGAACCATTTAAGCACCCTCATTTCCCATTCAGTTTCTAATTCAGAGCTTTTGACATCTTCATATTTGGGTAGATACAAAAAGGAAGACAGAGTTAGACAATACATTCCGCATCAGAAGTACAAATCTTCCTGAAAGCTATATTGAATTCACTTGGGCATTTTTTTCTGTTTTTTTTTTTTTTATTAAACACCAAGATGATAATGGACATGTACACCAAATGGAATTTCTGAGTTAGGTGAGTGGAGGCTTACAATAATAGACCAATGCAAATTATACTCCTTGGGTTCACACTCATTTCTTTTATACTACTAGTAATTCTTAGCATAGCTACATAATTTTAGGTCTTTGAATATAAATAATTAATGAGTCATTGGAGCAGGGGAACGGGAGCCGGGGTCTCCCCTCAGACCGCTACTCTAGTGTCTTGCTATATGTTGTATAAAACAGGAGAGATTGAGAGCGCCTCACATCAGAATATCCCATAGCCCAATGTTTAGAGCACTTTCCTGAAAGATTTAGGAGACCCCTCTTCAAATCCTTTCCCCCCCTCCATGAGAGGGGGAATTGAACCTGGGTCTCCCATGTCCCAGGTGAGCACTCAAACCACTGGGATAAAAGTTTTCAAGTGGGCACTACAACCACCTCCTCCTCCAGCCATTTTGTGTGGAGTTAGGTACCTACCTATGCCAGTCTCACAAGAAACACCTTAGATGCCCAAACGAAAGGAGAAGGGTTCCCTGGTTATGAGTCACTACAAGAGATAGGTGTTTGTCTCCCTAAGAAGCCTCCCTGCAGCCTGGATTTAAGCACTTACTTCCCTTAGAGGGCAGAGCTTAGGATACATTCCCTCCTTGGCTTCCTCCAAGGGCTAGCTTAGGTGACTCCTCACCTAGCATGCTCGCTTTTATGAATTACATTCTAAAGGTGCCTATCTCTCCCCATTCTTTGATTAGGGAGCCTCAGCTAACTCAGGCTTTTTGAATTGCAGTGTTATTCCTGTGATTTTGTAGGCACCTAAAAATTAGGCGCCGTGATGCTTGTTGTCACAATGCCCAAGTCCCTTTGTGAATCTGGGCCTAAGCGAGCTGCTATTAAGGGAATCTGGGATTCTTTAATTCTAATATCAATTGACATAATCTAGTGAACAAGACACTGAATACATTTCTGACTTGCCTCAGGTCAGATGATGTGTTAGAGGTACTGCCAGGAACAGATTCCAGGAGTCCTGGCTCAGCCTCTGCTATAACCATAAGGAAGCAAATATACAACCTACAGCTGGAGTCGGGCAGCTGCCCAGCTAGAGAATTAAAATAGTTTACTCTTTTTCTCACTAAGAATTTTATCTTGTTTTCAAAGCCTGTCCTTGGTGGATACTAACTTACCAGCTGAAGCAGAGACAGAGTTACGCAGTTTTATTGTTAAGCGTCTTATTAAAGGAGCACTTTTTGAGGGGATGGGTAATGTTGCATCTGTGGAGTTGAGGTAAGAGTAAAATGAACTGTTTTTAATTTGTGATAAACATGGGAAATGATAAGAAATGCTGGCAGTCTCACTAAGTTTACTATCTGCTGCTGCATATGAATTTAATCCTGATTGCAGCTAATCAGCCTGTCAAAGCATATGTAAGGCTCCCAGTTTAGTTATGTGCCAGTAGCATTTACCTTAGATTTCCTTTAGGTGGCAGTGAAAAACTGCAAACATAGTAAAGTGGTTTTGATCAGGTTGTTCTGATCAGACTGTCTGTGCAGTTAACAAGGAGGAAAAGATCTAGGAAGGTTGTATATGTGCTGCTATGTGCAGGTTGAATTGGTGTTAGCAGGTTTTAAAGTAAATCACACACACATATATATGGGGGGAGAGAGAACATATTGTAGTTGACTCTCACTCCTTTACACATAGCCTTTATTTCTAAAGTCAGTTTATCTTTTGAAGCCTTGTTGGAAAATGTGAACAGTTCTTTTTTTAAAAAGAGGTTATAAATAGGATAGTTAAAGCTTGCATTTATTTCTGGGATGTACCTCAGTCAAAGGTAATCAGAGTGACATATTACTGTTCTGATCAGGACAGAATTATTTTGATCAAGGTGAAAAATCATAGGGATTCAAAATCCTAATCTTAATCATTATCTGATTATTCACAAATTTATATAAAATGTAGGATAGGAAATCTTGACCCCATTGAAGTCAATGGCAAAATTTCCATTGACTTTAGAAGGGTCAGGATTTCACCTATGGTCAGTGGCTGGTTAATTTCTAATGTGAGACGCAAAATGAAATTCATTTAGAACAATCATTACATTATTTGGCACATCTGCATATGATTAATTCAACTTTTTTTCTGTTTCTAGCATACCAGAATTTCGAGTTGGTTGTTATTACTGTCTTCTCCAACAAGAAAAGCTTCTAGAAACAGCAACAGTGGAAACAAACATCAGCCCTCCAGAGTATGTAACTTGTTTCTTAGGAGGCTCAGAGAAAGGGCTCGAGCTATATCCTTTCCTTAACCTCTCTTTATTTGGGTGTGGGGAAAAGAGCATATGAAAACAACAAGTAGCGTGTTTACCCTGTTAACTTTGAAACCTTTTCCAGCTCTGCTGCCAGTTCCTTGAATTCATTGACTACTAGCCTACTTGTACACATCTTCCAGAGTATAACCAAAAAAGTGATTACCTACTACATGCTAAATTGGCAAAGAGCAAGTCTTAATTTATGTATCTTATTTCCTTAAGAGGATACTTTCAGACTTGAGTTGGACATATATGTTCAAGGCCTGAAGACTAACCTTGATTCAGAGGTAAGATCTAATTCTATGACTGAATTTTTTTAAATGGTAAAGATGACATTTTATGAATTGCTAACCTGATTTTATAGGGCTGATTTGTTAGAGGCTCGCCAATGATCTGAGCAGAAGATACTTAGGTTCTTGTCAAATCAGGCTACAGAATTAGAGAATGTAGAGAGTTCAGTACTTTGTCCGGACTCTCAGGGTGTGCAGCAAGGGCACTCACTGAGGACAGAACCCATGTTCTTGCCGTGTATCTTGTGGTTACTGGTACATCCCAGAATTTTGGTAGAACACATTCAGTTTTCCATTCAGTTCCCCAAAGTCAAAAGGGTAACCAGTAGACCATTTATCTATCCCAAAGGTTATAAACACTTATGCTAACTTGCTCTAGCTAATCATACAGGATACAAGCCTGTAGGTTCTTTGCATTACAGCAAGGAATATATAATGAAATAATATCTACCGAAATATAAACCAAAACAATATAAACAATCAAGCTAATAAAGAAAAACAGATTGTATAATATAGCAACCTGGCAGGCTAGCCCCATGGGCTACAGAATAAGGATTGGTTTCAGAGGAACAGCCGTGTTAGTCTGTATTTGCAAAAAGAAAAGGAGTACTTGTGGCACCAGCAGGAGAGTGAATTTGTGTGGGGGGGTGGAGGGTGAGAAAACCTGGATTTGTGCTGGAAATGGCCCACCTGTTGATCACTTTAGATAAGCTATTACCAGCAGGACAGTGGGGTGGGAGGAGGTATTGTTTCATATTCTCTGTGTGTATATAAAGTCTGCTGCAGTTTCCACGGTACACATCTGATGAAGTGAGCTGTAGCTCACGAAAGCTCATGCTCAAATAAATTGGTTAGAATAAGGATTGATCACTCTGACAAAAAGTTAGTACATGAAAGACCAACATAAACAGGAGGAAATGAGCAACTGTCTATACTGTGAAACAAGTGCGTACACTAAGTGCTGCCCACCATACAAGTTAAACAAATGGAAACATCAGACTTTCTTTCCCAAACACAGTAATCTTAAGGGTTACTTAGGACACTAATAGGTAAATTCACACAGAAGTGTGAATAAATTGACTAAATTCCTTTAAGAAATTATAATAGCATATGGAAAGGTTAGCCATGAGCATTCAGTCCCCTAACTTTTCTAAGCAGTGGTGATAGGTTGATTTGTGTTTTATGTGAATAAACTTGAAAGAAAGAAAAAGTTCAGGGAATGGAACCCAAGTTCTGACTTCCAGTCCTGTTCCCTATCTACTAGACTACACTACTTGCTGATACATGTCAGAATAGATTACAAATATAACATGTCATCTTCTTGTAGACTATAAAGGCCTTCAGAGCTGGTGTTTCATGTCAGTAAGACTTAAGATACCAAGCTAATGATTTTAGCTGATGGTAGTTCAAAATTAGGAAGGAATTGATATCCAAATTGCATGGTTGGAATGGGTTAGCAATATGCTTATTTTTATACCAGAATCAAAGCTTTAATGTTTCAATTTGCTTCAGAAAAGTAACCTGGAGACTTATATTAAACCCTACCTAAGAAGTTGGTTTGAGGACTCTGTATGCCCTATCCAGAGGGTAGTGCAGCTCTTCCAGGAGAAACTCACCTTTTTGTTACATGCTGTAAGTATACATCAAACTAAAACATCTTCTGAACATTTTTCTAGTCAACTCAGTGATCCTGTTATATTGTAAATGTAGCTTGCATTTGGCTTTTCCATTCACCCTGAAGTGAATGAAGAAAACCTCCCCCTTTAGTCAATACAAAGTGAATTTTCTCAGCTGTATTACTAAGCCAGTACGAGCTATTTCATTCACCAGTCAGGAAAATTAACATTTTAAAATTAATAACTTTATAGCTGACTTATTTTAAAATTGAATGCTTAGTGTTCAATTACAATTAGAATGAGAGAGGCAATACAAATTCCATTTTGCTCAGACTAGACAAGGACACTAAGTGTCTATGAAATTCATTGTAGAAAGATGCTGAGAACAAAAAAATAAGATGAGTTATATATTGCTAGACAATGAACATGAGAAGGATGTGGGCAGAATGGTTAATAGAAGTACAAACATACTTTTCAAAATGTATAAATAGTTGTAATGAATAATAGTCTGGAGCACTTATCTAGCATCTGGTACTTACTAGACTATTTGGAAAAGAACTTAACTAGGATCACTTGTTACTCTTTGCTAGTAGTAATAATAATAATAATAATAATGAATATAGTAACAGAAGTGAAATATATACAGCCAACAGCAAACAAATTGTTTTTTTTTAAAAGGCTTTGAGTTACACTCCTGTTGAAGTTAAAAATTCAGATGAAAGAATAAAGAAAGATATTCACAGGTAAAGAATATTACACCTAAACAGAGACAATATAGCCTATAAATTGCTTGGCTTATTGTATGATCCCTTTCCTGGTTTTGCTCTTTGAGTGGAAACTAGCAGTTCACAATAGTTTTGTATGTCAGGTTTCTGAGCGCTGCCAGTCTCCAAGGTCTCATTCAGGAAGGTACAATGACCTCCTTGTGTATAGCCATGACTGAGGAACATCACAAATCGGTGGTAATAGACTATCGTGGACCAGAGCCTCAGTTCAATAATGCAGGTAAGATCATGGATGGACATGCGTCCATCAACTTATCCAGCTCATCTTTAGAGAAGGCTCAGCATCTTACAGGATCATACCCAGAAAGTTTTGGGACCTGGCTATCTTGAGAACACCTTTCTTCCCATTTGATATCATACCATATATGATCCACAGAGGCACTTGATTTCTGGTTTAAAAGTGAGAGGTCCTAGAGTCTGGAATTTGCTCAACTCTATGATCTACCAAAACTCAGGTTAGTTAAGCTTCAGATCAACCTGCAGAGCTCACTTTTTCCATCAGGCTTTTGATGAGTGGTATATAGAGGGATGTAGATGGTTAGATAATTATAGTTATTTTGGGCAAGTATTATTCTGTTTTGACAGTTTACTGTAGATTTTAACCTTGTTTGTAGTTTTAAAAGCACCTGGAACTTTGGGAAAGATGTTTCAAAGAAACTGAAAACAAAATCTATTTTCCTGTTATACTAGTTAAAATAGCAAGAAAGGGGGATTAGTTACATTTTCTTTTGTTTTCTCATACACATTCTATCTTTTGAATTTTTATGCTTTTGAATATTTATATCATTGGGCAAACGTTACTGGTGTTAGTTACAATTATTGTGTGAGCGAGATTAAGTACATAATCACATAGTTATGCAGTGCTATGCAGTGCTCTAATGCACGCACGCGCACACACACACTCACTTTTCCTTACCTCCTTTTCTTTGTTCCTAAACGTGTGACAGGAAGCAACAAATTTTGTGACGACTGGATGCAGGCTTTTCTAAATGGTGCTGAAGGTGGAAATCCATTTCTCTTCCGGCAAATATTGGAGAACTTTAAATTGAAGGTAACTTTGTATACGCGTATGCTTGCAGGAGACAGAAGGGTTACTGATTATGCAAATAGTCACTTTTGCATTGATATAGTGATAACTGTGAGAGCTTGCCTCGTTCTTGCTGTACTCAGAGTGGACAAGAACAGAATATCCTCTAAAGGAGACAGACAGATTTAGAAACCAACTTAGTTTTTTCTTAAAACAACCTAACTTTAAAATTACAATAGGAACTCCTATCAAGAGTTGTAGCTAACTGATTTGTCTACTAGTGTATGTAATAAAATTCTTATTGCAGACTCTTCCACTTCTCCAAATTTATGTATTGGCATACCTTCCCTACAGATAAAAGAATGAGGAATATTTTCTGTTTCTGTGTTTATAGGCCATACAAGACACTAACAACCTGAAGAGATTTATTCGTCAGGCAGAAATGAACCATTATGCCTTGTTTAAGTGTTTTGTGTTTCTAAAGAACTGTGGCAGTGGAGATGTCCTTCTGAAGATTGTTAAAGTGGAGCAAGCAGAAATGCCAGAAGCCAAAAATGTAATAACTGTCCTTGAGGAATTCATGAGAGAAACGGCAGTAGCCTAAAGATCTTAATTTTTGTACTCGCTTTGTGCTATTGTATAAATAATTAATTCCTTCTTTGCAGATCAGAATTCACTATTGCAGAAACTTAAATTATATTTGAAAGCATTCAGTCATTTCAAACTTATTTCACATCTGGGTCTTTTTAGAAAAAGCAGCATGAGATTTGCTTCAGTTTTTGAATATAGTGTATTATACAAATCCAGACATTCTTTTTTCAACACTTATCAGATTCTGCAACTGATCCTCCTTTTTTGCGGACCACACCATTTTGTTTTTTACTATCATGTCATAAGAAAAACTTTCACCCAAATGGCAGTGATAGTTTTAAGCATTTAGAAAATGTTTAACACATAAGAACTAGTAGAGAGGAGCATGGCTAAACATTGAGATCAGATTTATTTAAACAAAAAAGTCATATAAAGAACTACAAACATTTGGATAAATCACATATAGTAAATGAATTAAACATATTCAATTCCGAGAATTTTCTCAGGCAACAAGCCCTATGTTCTTGTTATTTGTTTTCACATCCTTAATTCTAAAATAGAAAATCTGTACTTCTGTGACCAGATTATGTCGTTGATTATGCTTACTGAACTGATTGGTTTTAAACTGAATATAGTCTTTAAAACAAACTTTCCTGGCTTGTATGGAAGGTGTGCCTGGGAGTATACATGTCAAACCAGTCAAGTTATCTGTAAATTGATAGGTCTGATACTCCACTGTCTGTAATCACTGATTTTGCACAGGTGTAAGAACGCTATATCAGAATGGTAGTGTTTTACATCCACCTTGCCTAAGTGTAAATGACTATATAAGCTGCAAGAGATATTACCTATTATCTTTTATTGGACCAACTTCTATCCAAGTTGGTCCAATAAAAGATATTACCTCACCCACTTTGTCTCTCTACTATCCTGGGACTGACAGGGTTACAGCAACACTGCATATATGTTGCAAAGCAGGGGAGAATCAGGCTAAAATTTTTATAAAGATGAATTTAACTTGGTCTTAAGTCTGTATATATATTTCATTTTGAAAATGCATCATTGTACTCCAGCAATGAACTTTCTCACACATGGGAAATACATTTTCTAAACCGTAATTAATGTAGACAGCAGAATCACCACTTTGGATGCAATAGGAGCCAAAACTAAGGGGACCTTTATCAAGATTATACGGAGGAGGACTGCAAGAATAGTCCTTAGGTAGGCAAAATTCACACGTTTCAAGTGATTAGCTAGGGAATGTAACCTTTGCACATAGTGTGTTTTATCATAACTTGACACTTAATGAACTATCCTGTTATGAAGAGGTCTCCATCACTAACTATACTTGTAATAACCTTACTGAACCAGTCGTGTGACTGCTGTTCGTTTTGAGTGCTGTACATCAAAATTAAAAGGTACATGTTTTCTTGTGCTGTAATCATATTTAATAAAATAAATTTAAAACCTTGATTGTATAGTTTACTTTTTAATTCCAAGAAAGTATTTCCAATGAATGAATACATCTGTTTAGGCTCTATAGCTTATATTATTCTCCTAGCAGTCTCTGGAGGAGTTACAAGTATAGCACCATCATATGGCTGGGACAAAGGATGTGTATTGGCAGAGAGGAAAATAAAAGTGGCCTAAAAAGAACAACCAGTTACCACATCACATCACAGGCTGCATGCTGGATCACTGAGGAGTAATAACAGTTTCCTTCAGCATGTTTTATTCATCAATCAGTAAGCCAATACTAGCAGTACTCAATAACCTGTTTTGCTTTCTATGATTTTCATAAAATTTTACAACTTTGGAAAACCGATCCTTCAATGTTCTAACTGGTTCAGGTGCAAGGGATCTCTCCATGCTCAGAAATATATGAACATCATGAAGAATGGGTTGCTGATTAATGTCTTCATATCAAGCATTGCTAAGGATAAGATTTTGTCATGGACGTCACAGATTTTGTGACTTTCAGAGACCCCCGTGACATTTTCTGCTTCAGCTTTAGCCCCGGGGTGGTGGGGCCAGAGTTGTCAACTGGCAGGGGCCCTGGCGCTCCAAGCCACCACAGGTGGTGGGGACCCCGCATCTCTTAGCTGCTGCACATGGTGAGTGCTGGAGAACAAACTCCCCGCCTTGGGCTTCAGTCATCCCCCTATCAGGCCCCCACACCATTATTTTTAGTAAAAGTCACAGACAGGTCACAGGCGTCCATGAATTTTTATTGCCAGCGACCTGTCTGGTTATTTTTAGTAAAAATAACTATGACAAAATCTTAACCTTAAGCATTACAATCTGCAGTGCAAGAATCTCTAGTTGCCAGGGGATGACTGGTGATGTGAGAAATGAGGCTGCTCCTCACCCACTTTGGATGGAGCAGTTGGCTGAAGGCCCCAAGTGGTAATGACAGGTTTCAGAGTAGCAGCCGTGTTAGTCTGTATTCGCAAAAAGAAAAGGAGGACTTGTGGCACCTTAGAGACTAACAAGTTTATTTGAGCATAAGCTTTCATGAGCTACAGCGTGTACTGCTTGCAGTCAAGGCTGGCCTCAAAATACCCAGTCTAGTAATGGGCAGGTCATTTTGAAGCTCTATAATACAGGTGTTACTGGATTAGCAGCAGACTACATGTGTTGGGGGTAATATACTTTCTCCTTTGTGATACAAGAACAATCTATATTCTGGCTTCTGAGTTACCTTCAGGGCATCTTTAATGGATAGAGTTACCTACATATTTGCTGCCATCCTCATAACTTTATGGCTGGTACAAAGCTATTAAGACAGTTTTCTAGCTCTAGTATCTGAGCCAGGCAGATTTTTCCAGGCCAGTCATTGGGGTGATCACGGTTAGTCACTCCTTTACTGGTGAGAATCACCTGGCACATTCTTCTTTTTGGAGAAAAATTATTCACGCTGTGGTCCTAGCAAGTTCATACTTACCCATATTTAATATATATAGTACCTGTCACACCCTGTAGTTATAAAGCCCAGCTTTTTTAGCATTTGCTTGTGAAACTTTGATCTCTTCCACTTGCATAGGCCTTTCTTCCCTGAGCAGCTGCTTACCTCAATTGCAGTCCTATTAAGTTTGCGTCCCATCGCATGTGGTTGCCTTTGTGCTGGGTTCCAGCCTGGAACTGTCAAACCTTGCATGCCTGGTGGATTTTCTCTTCATTATCTATCTGTTCCTGCTTTGAGCTCCTTCTAGGCTCAATTTTCCCAAGATCTGCACTTTGAAGGAACAAGGTAATTGGTATTTCAAAAAAAAAAAAAAAAAAATCCTCCATCTTGCTATATACTTGATACTTATTTTAGGCCAGTTGCGATGAGCTCTGCAGTGACTTACTTATTCAGGTGTATGACTGACAGAAAGAGTTCAAACTTCTTGAAAGTGCCCTTGACAAAAACTGGGATTTTGGGAGCTATAGAATTTTACTTAATTAATTTCATAGCAATACTTTAACCCAACTATTCTTAACGTCAACCCGCAGGGTTTTTTTTTTTTTAAATTGGGATTGTGTCCCTTCTTACTCCCTTACAATGAATAAAGCAGGCTGATTTTTTTTATTTTGTTACTGTTTTATATCTAAGCAATTTCAGGAATATCACTTATGGTCTTTCCTTGTTTTACTGGAGGACCATTAACTCCATTTCTTAATTCAAGCGGGTGTCAAATCTGTAAAAGACATTTTCCCCTAAGTGTTCATTAGACATTGGTGGTAAATATATTTTAACAAAAAAAACCCAAAATAAAGCCTGGTTAAAACAGACGGGTTAAAAATCCCCTTCTCCACCTTTAGGCTGCTGTCTCTTGTGATGTCATAATTTCACAAGTGTTCCAGTTATCAGAAAGTGGACAAGACCTGAATTTTTAAAGTTAAAAAACAAACAAAATCAGATGATACCACTCTCTTCCTACCTTATATAGAGAAAAAAAAAGGGGCAGAAACATAATTTTTTTCCTTTACCGCACACTTTCAACAAAACACAAACGTAAGTAATTGATCTCCATAGTCAATGATGAAATAGAAAAGTTGAAATCAAATCACTCGTGTCAAAACATTCTTGTTAAGTTTTTAATTGTTGATGTACTTATAAAACACAATCCCTCTGTGCAAGTTGGTGTTTTTTTTGTTTTTGGCATGTTACATTAACAAGCTCACTCTTTATTAAAAAAAAAAATAAGCCCCCCAAATCTTTAATGGAAGCTGTGCTCAAATAATATTTGTTACAACAAAAATATACAGAATGTACACAATACAAAAATATTTGGAAACATATCACAACGTGTTACCTTGCAAATATTATTTTGTTCTCCTAGCCCTTGATGGTGAAGCATCAATTATTCAGCATTTTTAAGGCAGAATTATATTGTTTGGTGCTCTGTGATTAACACTTGGAGGAGGCATTAGTATTGATGATGAAAGCAAAAGAAAATCAAGCCACATAAATCTAGCTTTATTTGCAAACTAAACAGACTCTGTGGGGGAGTCAGGATACATTTGGTGACTAATGTGTCTACTAAACTCATTGGAAATTAATGTATTTTTGCTGCATAAATCAGGCCTGTGGAATTTTTCATGTCCCGTGTTGTAAAGTGCTCAGCAATGTCAATTTGCTGTACTATGTTCTGGCATTTTAAAGTACCTCATTAGGGAGCTTCTTCCCATTAAAAGCCAAAGATTAATGATGACAATAATACATTTACCTTTAAAACAGTTTGTTTTTGTTTCACACATGATTTATTCTTTTAGTGAACAGCTGAATATATTGCCTTCATCTTCAACGAGTTCTCAGTGTCTGTGCTGTGAAGCGTTGAGCTGTAGGAGTTGTTGAGCAGCAGCACACAGTACCCTAAGGCTGTCACTTTTTAAAAGAAAAAGAATTACAATAATAAGAGAAAGACCAAAACCAGAACCCCAAATCTATTGGCCTTTGGCTTGCTAGATCTGAACATGCCTACATGGGGTCAGGTCTGGTTAAAGTTCAGGTAAAACCAAACAGTGGGATATTCAAAAATTCTTAAGTATGTTAGGAGCTCAAGTCCCATGAAAATCAATAGGATTTGTGCTCCTAACTTATTTACCGTATACACTCATTCATAAGCTGAATTTTTTTTTAGTAAAAAAGGGAAGCATCAGAGAAGGGGGTCGGTATAGAGGGGGAGAGGTGGGACACAGCCCCTCCCCCAACAGAGGGGGCAAGGAGAGGCAGCAAAGCCAGAAGGGAAGAGATGGGGCCAGAGTGTCTCCGCTTCTGGCCACGCTGCTCTCCCCTCAACCTCTGAAGCAGCTGCAGCTCTGCGGCTGGCAGGTTGCAGCCGCGCCTGCCAGAGCAGCTCCAGCCAGGCCAGAGACATCCTCCCCTGGTCCGCCCCAGCTAAGGTGGGAAGGGATGGGATGGGGAGAGTGTGGGGGTCCCGGGCTGTGGGTAGGGTCATGTGGGGGGTGGTCATAGGGGTTACTCCCCTGACCGCCAGCTTCTCCCTCGCCCAAAATTTTCCCACCACTTGCTGTTCCGACCCATCAGGGTAAGCCGCTGGCGGGCTGGGACAGTTTGTTTACTTAGGTTTACCTCCATGCCTGCAGACACTCAAGGTAAACAAACCGCCAGCGGCTTATCCTGATGGCCCGGGAGCCAAAGTTTGCCGACCCCTGAATTATAGGGTCGGCTTATGAATGGGTCATAAAAATTTTCTATTTTTACTTATCCATCTGGGGAGGGGGGGGGTCGGCTTATAAACCAGTGGCTCTCAAACTTTTTTTTTTACTGGTGACCCCTTTCATATAGTAAGCCTCTGAGTGCAACCCCCCCTTTGTAAATTAAGAACACTTTTTTATATATTTAACACCATTATAAATGCTGGATGCAAAGCAGAGTTTGGGATGGAGGTTGACAGGTCGCGACCCGCCCTGTAATAACCTTGTGACCCCCTGAGGGGTCCCGAGCCCCAGTTTGAGAACCCATTATAAACGAACCGGCTTATGATTGAGTATATACGGTAAGTGCTTTTGAAAATCCAGCCCAAAATCTTGCAAGAATAAAATGTTGGCACAAAATCTTGGACATCTTAGGAGGTCTATTGACTTTGTGAGATGGCCACACTATTTTGGGACCAAGCATAGGATTCCATCTGTTGTATACAAATTAAAACCCAAATTCTCCAATCTGAAAACCAGAGGCAGTATGGTCCATTGGACAGAGCATGGTCCAGGAGATAGGATCCCTGAGTTCTTGTCCCAGTTCTGACAAAAGCTCACTTTGTCACCTTGTACAAGTTGTAACTCCCCTAGCCTCAGTTTCCTCATTTATAAAATACTTATTTCTACCTAAGCAAGTAGTGAAGATTCATAAATATTTTTGATATGCTATGTAAGCGCGAAGTATTACTGGCTGACTGGAAAAAGGACATGAAATGCTTAGTTAAAGATTTAGCAAAAGTTAAAAGTTTTTCTTCCTTAACCCACATGTAGAGGTTATTTCTCGTGAGCTCATATCCCATCCCTCCTTATCTGGCTTTTTCCTTTATTTAATATTAGTGATGTGTGCAAAAAAATGTTTCTAGATCCAAGGATCTAAGAATAAGAGGTGCAACTTGCAACTCCCACTGACTGTACACTCATCTTTTCATTCTGGATGGTGCTTTTTTTTTTGGCCCCTATTAATTTCTTTCTTTTTGGCTCCCATGAGAAGGAGCCATCAGCATGGAGTTCTAAGTGAAAGCAGCTGCCAGTGTCAACCTCTGAATTGACCAGCAGGTGTCTCTCTAAGAGTTGTATTACTCGTGTCCCCAGATTCTGAGTCAGTCTTCATTACCCCTCCCATCTGGTTGCTCCCTAAAGCCCAATACTGGATAATCCTATACAGTAGCTGTGCTGCAATTCAACATCGACTATGGGAATAGCTCTTACAGGTTCACCACATCTCTTCTTTTCACCATGAAATACTTGTCCAAGGACATTAGCACAAGAAAAAACTTGTTATAAAATATACACCACTCACTAGTGTCTTCATGTTGATCATAATGTCAGAGAGAGTGTGTGAATTAAGTATCTGTAAGGTCCAATACATTCACATTTTGTTGAACTACATAATGTGAAATTCTGGTAGCAGCTGAATTAAAAAAAAAGAAAATCAATTCACGATGTAAATTGCTCCTTCGTGACCAGATGAGAAGAGCCTGTAAGTCCCAATTCATCCACAAATGACTGGAGACGAGTAATGTTAAGGCTCTGACACAAACCGGCAACAGCAAGGACATCTGGAGGTGAAAGAGAAAATCTATCCTCTATTCACTCACTGAGTTTAAAAGACAGCATAATTGAGATTGATATTAACCATTTTAAAATATCAAACTGCACAAGCTCTTTAAAATAGTGTCAGAATCTATCAAACAGTTTTCAAAAGAGGGAGTAAAGATCTCAGCCCAAGTGTCTTGTACTGCCCTTGATCTCTCAGCTGGTGACATTGAGCATAGATTATGTTCATTTCCTTGCCTTTGTGTGAGGTGTGTGGATGAATTCACCCTTAATATATTGAAATATAAAACGCTTGATTTATTCATCTGTATGTGTGAATTTAGTGCTGGTTTCAGGTGTCAGCCTAACTGAGAACTGGGATTGGTTGGCAGAGCCCACCCAAGCAATGAAGGCCTGCTCCTTCAGATGAGGGAGGGAGCAACAGAACAGAAAAATCAACAGATCACTGAGACAAAAAAAATGCACAAACAGGGCTAGGGAGGCAGGTCACAGGATTAAAAGGAGGGATGGAAGAAGCTGGCGGAGATCTTCCAAGGAGCCCTGCCTAGATGAATGAATGGATGAAGAACTGGAATATGGTCCCACGGTCAGAGAATCCCCCCCATCTATCTTCATCCTCCTGGACTGATGATCTATCTTGGCCAGTGCTAGGAAAAGGATGACAGATAACAAGGAGATTGATGGCCTAGGAGTCTAAAGTCCATTATTAAGCCACTGAACAGGTACAGCTGGGACAGAGGCATTTGTAGAAACAGGCCCTCAAGGGCTAATCCTATACCTCTTTCAGGGAGGTCAAGAGGAGTTTTCTAACATGCAAGCTGCTGAGTACAGCCTTCAATTATCTAGTATGGATAATATGTTGATTTCTTTCCCTCTCTCTCATTCAAATACTGACACATGGTGAGGCTGAAATGGGATGTAAAATAGTCTCTCCATCACCAAAGACCCATCTAGCAGCACTTTACTACAACAAACCTGCATTCTTCGTAACAGTGACTCCGAGGGGCAGTTGACACACCTTTACACAGAGGTAGGACAGAGATTTTTTAGAGGGAGAGAGTGCCCTTGAAGGGAGGTTCCTTGGGAATTTGCATGTAAATTCCTTCCCATGTGGTGCAGTCCAAAAATAAAAATGTTCGGAAGAAATCTTCATGAAGTTTAAAGTAGGGCAGATTGAAAATGTTCCATATAATTTTTTGACGGAAAATTGAGTTTTTGACAAAGCTTTTTTTTTTTTTTTTTTTTGTGAGGAAGTGTCTACTTTCCTCAAAATTAAAAGTTAAAAAATGTTTGGGTTTTTTTTTTTGGTTGGAAACCAGAAACATTTTTCAGTTTTTAGACAAAAAAAATCTGGGTTTTGGAAGTTTTGGCTAATAATTGTTGTTTTGTTGATGAAAAGTCATTTTTTCTGCTGAAAACGTCAATGAACACAATTTTTTTTTTTCATTTTTATCACAATTTTCCATGTGGAAAACTCCTCTTTTTTCTGACCAGCTCTAGTTTAAAGGCACCTGTAAAAGGTATGATTTATCAATATCCAGAGAAGGGGACTGAAGCAGAGATGTCCTCCTCCTCCAATCTGAATAATGTTTTTAGCAACTAATTATCTAATCTCTAGTTATTCCTCTCTCCCTGCTCTCCCACCCACTCAAGGATGCTGTCTCTATCATTATGACACAAGATGAGTGAGGCAATATCTTATTTACCTCACCCACCTTGTCTCTCGAATATCCTGCGACTGACACAGCTACAACTACACTGCATCTATCATTATGAAACACCCAGAATGATCCCTGACCTGGAACAAGGGATCCAAACTCTTGCACATGTGATTGTTTAGAGCTGGCTCCAAACTGCAGGGATAATTTGGAATTTGGATAACTTGGAATTGGACCCATACCAAAGAAACCCACAAGTGCTCTCAAACAATAGGCCTTATGGTTTCCTATTACAAGGCTTCCTTGAAGTGGGGTCTTATGAACCATGCTTCAGACTAAAAGGGAACAATTTTGTTGCTGTTGCAGTTGCTTCAAAACTTTCAGACACTGCACAAGAAGAAGGGGAAATAAAAGTTTCCTTTGCAGATAAGGCTCATTTAATACCCTTAAAAAGTCAATGGGAGCTTTGCCATTGAGTTTAGTGGAGTCAGGCTTTCACCATGGAGAGTGTTTTATCCAAAGCAGCAGGGATTAAAATGACAGATGAAGAACATCACTGAGTTAACACTTGGGAGGAGGTCACAGCCCTCAGCATCAGCACTGGCATCATCTAGGTGGGCAAGAGAATAAAGCTCAGGAACAAAGAGAGGTGTTACTGAAAGACAAACAAAACTCGCTGCTGATTCCAAATTGTGCCCAAATCATCTAATTATGTGAGCTTGTCTTTGGCAGAGATTAGGAAGCCACCTGTTTCCAGACCTGGTGCCCAGATCTCAGGAGACAATGTCAGGATTCTGTTTTCCCCAGCTAGGGGGAATTACAAGCCTTGGAAACAGAGCTGGTCAAAAACAGTCCAGCAAAAAAAAATTTTTTTTAATGGAAAAAAATGAAAAAAATTCCCACCCAAAACTTGAGCATTTTTGACCCTCTCGGGTTGTGATTTAGAAGCCATGTCTCCTACCCCCATCTTCTGGGATGGGTGAAATTCACCCCTATACACAGGACCAACAAGATCTATGACCTGATCCATCTCACCTAAGCCTCCAGTATGTGTCTTAGGTGAGATTTAACTGATGCATAGGCCTCCTGCTGGCCCTCTGCACAGGTGTGAATTTCACACCCTGCACACACACCTTTTTTGTGTTATCAAGGGCATCCATTTAAGACAGAAGATAGGCCATAGAATTTCCTCATGACTAAAGCCTGTGTTACAAAGAAGGTTACACTGGATGATCTGATGGTCTTTTCTGGCCTTAAAATCTATGGCAATATAGAAGGGGCAGAGGAATTAAGGGAAACCTATAAGAGGGTAAATCCTCCACCTTCCTGGACTGTTTTTTTTTCTGCTGTGCAGTTAGCAGTCAACAGTGAAATGTGAAATAACATAAGCACCTTACTAGAGATTTGTGCTTAAAGCCCATGCTACAAAGGGTTTTAAATGGTTTCCCTGGTCTATATAGGCATGGTGAATCATGCTATTAGGCCTTTTTGCTTTACAAACTGTACTATAAACCAGTTAGGGAATCTATAAAACCTGTGCCCTCACTATACTAGGCAAAAAGGCATCACAACTAATTGTTGCTTGGAACCCCTAAAGGTCCATTGCCTAGGCAAGACTTTGTGTCCACGCACAACAGTTATTCCCAGTATTTTACAAGCATTGGTCATACCAGCCAAGCCAGGGATGACACACTTGGGTAGGAAACTAGTGGCAAATAAATCCCTGGTGTAACTCTGCTGACTTTGGTGGATAAACTTAGCCTCTAGCATACTGAATGGTTTGTAGCATGGTTTTATAACCTGCATATTTCCCGTCTACATTGTTGAGGGAAATCATGTCCACACTCTTCTAGCAAGAACTGAGTTTAAGCAAACCCTGCTGGAGAAGTTCTGACACGCTTTCCAAACTCTTTGCAGACAGGGCATTAGACCATACATAGCCAGAAAGAAAGGGCAGAAGAAAACAACCTGATTGTCAACCAATATAAAACACAACTGAACATTAGCAAAATCCTAAACTGCCTCCACCCAATTATTTACCACAACGGGTTGTAAAAATCAAGTGAAACATGTACTGATGGTAAGAGCCACCTCTGATACAGTGTCCCATCTGAAACAACCACTTTATAGTATCCCCAAGGTTTCTAGTGCAATTTTGTTTGACATTTAGTTGAAGATCAATCTCTACCATGATAGGTGACTAAGTTTTGCTGGCCCCTTTGGAAGTTGCTTAAGACAGCCTAAACTATGGACTAAATATTTAAGTAACCATTCAAGTATTAAGACAATGGTAGTGGCATGGCTGACCAGTCAAACTCAACCATTAAAACCAAATTCAATTTGCCTTGTCAGTGTCCCTTGAATCTAGTTCAGTGGTGCTGGAACAATTTTTATAGAGGGGGTGCTGAAGGCAGAAACCATGTATTTGGGTTGTCATTATTACTTCAAGCCAGCGAGTGTAGCAGCACCCCTCATTCCAGCACCTATGCTCTAGTTAGTAAAAGTGAAGCTTGTTTTTGTTTTACTATTCAGTTAAACACAGGAGTTTCATAAACCAACTAGTCATGGATCCAGCATAACCTGGAAAAATTTAAGTGACCCAGACTAAACATCAATGTGTGTGCTAATAAAGCGAGTGGTAAATGCCCAGTTACAAACATAGGGTTGATCCTGCAGCCCTTCCTCAGGGGAATAGCCACAATGGAGAAGCTGCAGGATTGGGTCCCTACTGAGTGTTAACAGTACCTGTATGACTCATGTTCCAACTTCTCTCAGGCCAGTTCTATTGTTAGGTTTTAGCTTAAATAATCTTCTTCAGCATACAGTACAGTTAGAAACGATGTCACATGTTTCCTTAACTTGTGCATTTTCAGAAGACCATTTACTTATCCCCTAATCATCATATAAAAATAAATCCTTGGTTTTGATTAATTTAACATAGCTGGCAGATGAAAAAGTTTTTTGCCTCCAGAGTTCTCTGTCCCAGGCTCTCAAGGAGGTGGAGGTAGCTTCAGATCCAATAGATTGTAGGCAAAAACATTCCAAAAGATGGCGAACAATACAAAGACGACATAAATAAAAATAAAGATCCACCATAAGGACTGGTCCTGGAGTCTCTGTTCATAGTTCCTTAGGATGACCACGCCCAATGTGATGCCAACCAATACCCCGCCCAGGTGGGCGACGAAACTTGGGTGCGGACATGGGGGGTAAGCAGATGGATGGAACCGCAGCCACACAGCCCTTCCAAATTCAAAGCTCACTGGAACAGAGAGAGAGAGACAGAGAAAAGATAAGCCCTTTGTCCATCTCAATCCTTCTCTACCTCCACTTGGGGCTCCTTCAAGTCAATGACTGGAGAACTGCATGTGCTGTTTCATAAACATCTCTTGCTATCTCATGATCATTATTGCTATCTCATAGTGCAGAGATCATTGCTTTACTGAACAGAGAGAAAGTGCACTCTCCTACAAGCAAAGGGGATGATATAGGCCAGTTTTGGCCAATCAGCTCACTGTACATCAGACATGAAACATCAGTGCAGGCAGATCGTGTGAAGTGCTCTTTTATTTTCGGTGTTTGTCCTGGTGTTTCCTAGGGCTCTGGTTGGTTTCCTGCTGGCTGGGACTCTCTACTATTCATTGAGCACTGACCATGTGTTCAGTACTGTATACTGCACAGACATACCATAGAACACAAAGATAATCTTAGCAAGCAACAGAAACTGCAACCCAAATGATCTTGTGTATATGCCAGACAGAGAGAATCAACCTTCATGCAGTTATTGTAATGACAGGGTTTCTTGTTTTGTTTACTTAATATTCCGTGTGAGCTGGGCCAGGTGGCTGTTGGGCAGTCATTGATAAGCCTGGCAGCAGAAACATGTTTGGAAGAGGAACCTGAATCTGGGTTTTGGTTTTCCTTAATGACTGGGCCAAACCAAATCCACAGCTCTGTACATCCCCAAACTTTGTGGGAGTTCAAAAAGAGATCTAGATCAGAAATTCTCAGCTCTAGATGCTTCTCGTTGCTTTTTTGTAAAAACAAAGACACCTTCAGTAGAATCTTTTCTTCCTTTAAATCTCCCTCTTGGTGGCTGTTTCCTCCTCTTCACTTGGTCCAGTCAGCACATGACATATCTGTTTTCTCCCTAGTCAGGCACATCAGATCACCTCTGTACTCCTGTGACATTATCTGATTAAAATATGACCACATAGATCATTGTTGCAACCATGGTTATATATTTGCAGCAAATCTGGTACAAAGGTTATCAAGTGAGATGTCTATGAAAAGGTTATGATTTGCTGGTTATGATTATGCTATCTGTATGCCCGTATCATTTTTGTATTTTAAGTTATAAGTATTGGCTCCATACCTGGATTTCAAATGTTTGCTCCTGGGGTAATGCCCACAAGGTAGCCAGCCAGCACACCTTGAAGGATCTATTCAAATGCAGGTAAAGTAACCTACAACATAAGGGCTTGATCCTGTATAGGCCCAAGTACCTTCAATTCGCACTCAGTGCCTAAGGCAATGCAGATGGCTGGAATCACAAATGAATTATAAATGTTAAATCAGAATTTCTTCTTGAATTAGGACTAAGTTGTAGAGAAAAATCTCAATTGGAGGTTGTGCGAGAGGCATTCTTAGGCTTCCAGATTTATTTCTAGGACTCTGGTTGAGATTTTTACATTTCCATTTTTGTAATTTAAACAGTGTAATGTAGCACTACAGAGATAACTGGCTCTGAAAACTGAATGCCCAGAACAAGCACAACATAGTCAGCAGCAGCAACACAAGCTTCTCTGCACCTCCTGGCCCATGTGCCTGAGCACAGCGCTGGAAGGGTTACCTCTAGGGGTGAGAGATTTGTTCTACCTTTACTCAGTTCCTGGCTTCTCTGATGAAATTACCAGCAAAGAAACTGACTGCAGTTGTGTTGTCCTCTGGCAGCTGCACTATGTCCATCAGTTCACCTCGCATAGATTACTGATAGCTGGTTTCAGTCACTATGGACCTGTGCCTGATTCAGACAAGTGACCTACAGCAGCGGTTCTCAACCTTTCCAGACTGCTGTACCCCCTGCAGGAGTCTGATTTGTCTTGTATACCCCAAGTTTCAGCTCTCTTAAAAACGACTTGCTTACAAAGTCAGACATAAAAATACAAATGTGTCACAGAACACTATTACTGAAAAATTGCTACCTTTCTCATTTTTACCATATAGTTATAAAATAAATTGATTGGAATATAAATATTGTACTTACGTTTCAGTGTATAGTATATAGAGCTGTATAAACAAGTCACTGTCTGTACGAAATTTTAGTCTGTACTGACTTCCCTAGCCTGTTGTAAAACTAGGCAAATCTCTAGATGAGTTGCTATACTCCCTGGAAGACCTCTGCGAACCCCCAGGGATACGCGTAACCTTGGTTGAGAACCACTGACCTAGAGAAACAGGGTCTAACTTGGACATTACAAAAGCCCCACATCAATGGAAAAATATTTTGCCATGGACAGAATGTTGGAAATCCATTTTATCCTCTTTTTTTCTCCAGATGAGCCCATCCCTTGCGCACCAGCATTGGGAGTTCACTTTTGCATAGCAAGACAAAAGAGGAGAGATGCAGCCTTTCATTCTTAGTTGACATTACCTCTTGCCATGCCCTTTGTGGCAGCTGTGACCAGCTGGGGCACTCCTGAGTTGGTCCCATGGCTGACCCTGAGGGGGCTGGTGCAGGTGGTTCTTGGTGGAGCTGAAGAACTTGTTTCCTTTGTTGGTCTAGCAGAGCCTGGCCTTGGCTACCGGTAGAGCTCAGTGTCTGATGCTGCCAGCAGTTTTAGCTTTTCTTGGCCCCCCTTCCCCTTCCAGCTCCTTTTGCTTTTTTTATGAAGCTGGGTGGCTTTTGTCTTTTGACCGGTAGGAGTCACTGAGGGCAGATTTCAGAGTAGCAGCCGTGTTAGTCTGTATTCACAAAAAGAAAAGGAGGACTTGTGGCACCTTAGAGACTAACCAATTTATCTGAGCATAAGCTTTCGTGAGCTACAGCTCACTTCATCGGATGCATAAAGTGGAAAGTACAGTGAGGAGATTTTATATACACACAGACCATGAAAAAATATACATTGTAAGGAGAGTGATCACTTAAGATGGGCTCCACTCTCCTGCTGGTAATAGCCCATCTTAAGTGATCACTCTCCTTACAATGTATATTTTTTCATGGTCTGTGTGTATATAAAATCTCCTCACTGTACTTTCCACTTTTGAAAATGGCCCTTTGAAGCCTAAGTGAGACTCATTGATAGTCATGGGACTTGGGCCCCCCCCTTCTTTTAAATCAACCATGTTTTGGCTGCCCCCCCGGGCCCACCCTAGCTGGCAGCTCACTTCACGGAGCAGCACCGGAGCTGTAGCTCATGCTCAAATAAATTGGTTAGTCTCTAAGGTGCCACAAGTACTCCTTTTCTTTTTGCGAATACAGACTAACACGGCTGTTACTCTGAAACCTATCTCTATGTGCATCACCTTCCCCTTCTGGAAAGCAGGGATAATACTTCCTTGCCACAGGGGTCTGGAGCAGCTTACTTCATTGGTGCCTGCCAAATACTTCGGAGGTCCTTAGACTGAGAGTGCCGTAGAAGTGCAGTGCATTAATTATTATTATTATTATTATTATTATTAAAGCATTGCCTATTGGAGTGTTCAAAGAGAAGCAGCGAGACCCCAGATCTTCATGAATGTCCATACGCCAGACACTGCTAAACAATGAACCGTACATTTTCAAATGCTCCCATTTAACATTTGGATCCAGATTCTGCATTCTAGAGTGATCAGGTTTCTGCTGCTGTGAATGCCGGTTGCTGGTTCCCAAGCGATAGAGCCAAATTACCGCCTTGGGTTAGCATAACCACTAATGACAAAGGTAAACAAAACTGGATTATGTGCGCACCAAACGTATTACAATACTTACTACAGATCAAGGCAAGAGCCATGCGCAGCAGCTTGAATTGGCACTTCATTCCAGACCAGTTCTGAAAAAGGACACAACAAAAACAAAATTATGCTGGGTACCATGTATGCATCTTTTTATGCCGTGGAAATCTGAAGACGGATCTAGATACTTGCTGAACATCAAGGAACTTGATCTCGCCACACAAACATAATGGGAAGCTCTGCTCCAATTGGTGCTGCCCTTGCCACACTCCTCAGGGTTCTCAACTCACCAAGCCAAAAGCAGACACGCATCAAATTAAGGATTAGGCAGCTCTCATAAATCAGCTGAATCCTTCTGTTTCTTTACTCTGCACATTACTGGTCAGAAGACGAAGATGTGAAAGCATAGTAAATCCACAGAACTGGGAATCCCTGTTTAATCCCTCAGCTATACATGGGCTTTAAACTTCTATTTCTTTTGTCACGCTCTTTTGCTCCTTGATGGATGTTTACAGTTCATACTGGGTGTGAGGGAAACGCGTGGGGAGGTAAGGTCAGGTTATCCCAGAAGTTTTAGATTATGTTACATAGAAATGATAAGAAGGAGCAATTTGAATTAGAAATGTACAGTAGTGCAATCCACGGTGTGTCTGTGGGCAGGGACACAGTTGCACACAGAGTGAGGACTCAGTAAAACTAAGTTTGGAAAAAACATGTTGCAGGTCTATTTTTGTGGGTGTGTCCTCAAAGCTTGGAAGCCTAGCAAACAGAGAAGGGTTTGTAGTGGGGGGTTGAAGGGGCAGAGAGAATATAATTAGTTAACTCTTTTATCATCTCACCAACGCGTTAAGTGGTTGGGTTCTGAATGAAAGAACAGGATACACACTTGCTTCCTCCAGCTGAACTAAGGGAGAAGAATGTTCTTGGGTAATGAGAGAGGCATTAACAAGTATTGAAAACAATGAGATACCAAGATATTTCTCCCTCTTTACAGTAATATATTTTCTTCCCCTACCATCTCCTTTTGATCCAAACAGTATAGGAAGGAGCATGGAGACATCAGCATCCCTCTACTTCTTGCAAACAGGAAATCTGAATGACCTCACACCCTTGAGCTAAATCACATCAGAGGATCAATAAACCAACACTGATATTATCTGCCTCCTGGAAGTTTGCAGCAGTGTTTGCAGTGCTCAAGATTTAAAGGATGAACTCAGGTCTGGAGGGAAAAGGTTAGACAGAATATTCAGGGCTTACATACTAGGGCTGGTTGAAAATGTTCCATCTAAACTGTTTTTCAACAGAAAATTGGGTTTTTGATTAATTTTTTGCAGAAAGTTTCTGCTTGCTATGGAAAACTTTGACTTTTCATCAAAAAACCAAAATCCTGAAAACAGAATACTTTACAGCGAAAAGCTTTTTAGTGGTTGTTTTTCTGATGAAAAGTCAAAACTTTCTAGAGGGAAAAAAATCCATTTCCTGGCCAGCTATATTAAATACATAGATCATTTAGGTTATGGCCCACAAACAAACAGATGGGAGTTTAATCCTTTCTCTTATCCTCTTTCAGTGCAAACACTTAGATACCAAGTAATAAGTGCCTTAGAAATACCATAAAAGGATATTTACATTAGACAGGCCATTGAAGCAAATGCATCTTGGAGGCAACTAATTGGCATAATGAAAACTAACAGAACTAATTATTTTTCTTAATTAAAGCAAAACGTTTCTCAAATTATTGAATATTTAGTAAACTTTTACTAAATTTTGCCAGCCACAGGAGGTGCTTAGTTTGGTTAAAATTAATTCTGAAACCAGGGAGAAGAAGCAACTAACTTCAGAATACAAGCATTATCTTTAAAGCTTGCATTAGAAGAGGGGAGTTTCCCTCCCATGATAGTCTCCCTATTCCTCTCTCACGTCAAAAAAGCCCTGTGCTGAAGCAAACCCCTCATTCCAGCCAAGGAGGTTTGGAAACGCTCCTTCTGGAGCCCGATGTCTATGGTTAGTATTTATTATTAATTATTATTATGTATTTGTATTACTGGTATGCCTAAGAGCCATAGTCATGGACTCATACCCCATTGTGCGAGGCCCTGCACAACCACAGAACAAAACAGACAGCACCTGCCCCAAGGAGCTTAGAATCTAAGTATTGTATTATAATAGTGCCTAGAGGCCTCAGCCCAGATAGTGGCTCCATTTTTCTAGGCAATGTACATGCACACAATAAAAGATGATCCCTGCCCCAAAGAGCTCACCACTCTTGGCTAGCAGTATGGAAGAGCATACATTGTAGATCACATTTGATATCTTAACTGAAATCTAATCATTGGTAGCTGTGATGGGATCTGCAAGCCCTCCCACAAAAACAAAGGCAGGAAAGGGTTAAGAACCCTGCCTGCCTGCGACAGACAAAGTAGCCATGCCCTAGTTCAGCTGTGATAAATGCCAATTATGGAGCGACACCCCCCACTGCTGTGGTGCCTAATGAGGGCAAGCCCAACTGTAAAGAGGGAGGAAGAAGAAAAAGAAGGGACAGAAAAGCTTGGGATTTCTGAGGAGCAATGGCTCTCAGCCAGGACACACCAGCCTGCCTCTGAGAAACTACTGACTCCCTGGAGGTTGAGATGAAAGCCCTGAGGATCAAGGGCCTTTTGACTCAGCTTTATGTTATGCATATAGACTCTGCCTTTTTTCCTGATGTGATTTGAACCGTTGGTATCTGGGCCAAAGAGTGATCCAGACCACTTGATGTGGAACTCTGGCACATGGTTGTGCTCATCACAGCTGACAGTAGCAATTCAAGTGTTTCGCCCCATTTCAAACTGGCATGAGAAATCTAAAGCCACTGACTCACCTTCTCACCATGATTTCCACTTTTCTGTCACTAGTTCATTGATTTCCATCCCCAAGAATTTCAGGCATCCCATTATTTCCTTGAGAGACCCCTTCCATGTGACCAGCCTTTCACAGCAATCTTGGAAAACAGCTTACAACCACATTCAGTAATCTTTGCAATAAGGAGCCTTTGGTATAATACCACATCTGTTGTGAGCCAGCTATCAGATCTGATCTGCATTGCACTCAATTTATATCTGTACTAATCTGTGTGGAAATCTGTGTGTACACACACACACACACCTGGAGAAGACGTGTTCTAATAAAGGAAGAAGCCAAAGCATCAAGCTTAGAAAAATCTAATGCCTTGATCCTGTAAAGACTGAAGCACATGCTGAACTGTATATAACCTAGTCCTTATCCAAAGCCCTTTGAGACCAATGGACAGCTCCTATCGACCTGAGGAGACTTTTGCTTTCAAAGGGACTACTCAGAGTGCACAAAATTCAGCACTCGGGTAATTCTTTGTGGGATCGGCCTGCATCTGCTCCCTTTCTTTACGGACTTGGATTTAACCTACAGAAGAAACTGTACAAAAGAGCTACAGAAAGCAGAAGAGTTGGCGATACAATTAGGCATGCACTGAATTCAGTGAAAAGATTGTCTAGTTAACAATCTATATAAAATAGGCTAATAAGACAAATAAACACACAAAGAGCATTTTCCTTGGTGTACAGGTCTCCCACTTCTTCCACTGGTCTGTCCTGATCTACATCCATATGCATGGAAGGCAAAATGTAAAAGGACAGGTTAGGGAGGGGAGGCATGAAACTGACACTGGCCCTAGCTGGACAGTTTGGAAGTGGACTTCCAAACTCCAGTCCTGAACACTTGGGATCAATCCACTACAGAGATGGGGCCAATCGCAAAGGGCTTGTTCCAAACCCTATTAAAATCAATGGAAAGACTCCAACTGACGTCAATGGTTCAAACCCAAAGTTCAGACTTCTGAAAATTTCTCCAGAGTTTGAGGCTGTTTGGATCTGAGAGTTTGGTTTTGGCTCATCTCTACATGAAATACATCCGTCCAAAACAGGGGTTTTGTCTTTGGTTGTTGATGTGTTAAATTGTAAGCAACAGATGTCTCTGTCGTTGGACTGAGTGGCAAGTCTCCCAATTTACTTCAGTTGGAGCCAGACTGCTATGTAAATTTCTAGGAGCCCACAAGTAGGTCAGCATTCATAAAGGGGTCATATCTCATCCCAGTTTACATCTTTATAGGTCAACAGTCTGGTTTGATACTTATATATAGCTTGGAAGGATTAGATTTTAAATCACCCAGTGTCTATAACTGACATTTTCTCCCTCCATCCAAAAAGACTGAAATATCTTCTCACATTAATAATAAAAAGTTACAGAATGGAGAAATTAAATACATATATGTTGCACTCTCAGACAGCTAATGCTGTCAGTTTTATCTAGCAAATCAACTAATGGGAGCTATTCTAAAATAGGATTGTCTGATAATATTACTGTCCTATTTCTGAATCTTATGAACCTCAACTTCTAAAGTAATTAGGTTTTAAATAAATTGGTATAAAGTTTTGTTTTAATTTCCAGCTAGTGCCAAAATTTAAGGTTGGTAACAAAACGTAAAATAAAAAAATCCTTGGAAATAAACATTAATATAGTTGAAACCCATAAGAATAAAAATATTCCAAACCTAAGTATAAAAATAGCATTATATTTAGCAGGAAACACTCAGGGTTTCAGGGATGAAAGATACACCAACTATGGGCTTGTTTACACTGGGAAACTATGTTGCATTAGAACACTTTAACAAAGGTGATTTACTCAGCATAGACAGGGACTGTTATGTTTAACATCGTGTCAGCTAATTGGGGTAACTTTTAGGGTTAATACACTGTAATTTCCTAGTACAGTTAAGTCCTATGGGCACGTGATTTCCAAAAGAAAGAAAATGTACAGAAATGTTTGTAGACTTTGCTCTACCAAGCAAATTCCAGCACTGTAATAAGACTGCCAAAGCCTGCCTGCCTGTCGTTCGATATGGGTTCACACTGTGAAGAATATTATGCATCTTGACCACACTTAGACACTTGCAGAATGTTAAGACACATGGACCACCACAGGTTCCTTGGGCAAGTCTCTGTCATCCACTCCCAAATCTGTAAAGTGAGGATGATAATACTTAGCCAATTCACTGGAGTGCTATGAGGCAGGCTTAATTTAGTTGCATTTCTAAAGCGCTTGGAAATCCTCACAAGGAAGATGCTGTAGAGCCCTATTCTATTTAGGTTCTTATATACCTCTTGTCACCTGACGTATCTAGAAATGCAAAGCAGTATTATTATTAAGCACCCAATCTCAGTTAGATTCTTTCCAAAGGAATTGTGCCTGTGTAAGGTAGCGTGAGATATCAAAGCATTAAGAGGTTCCAGAACAGCTCCCTACAGCCAAACTAACAACAAACTAAATAATCTACACACCAAAAAAACAAATATTAATGGGGTCCCGGGTCCAGCTCCTGATGTAGCAGGTGGTAATGTATTTTACAATATACAAAGTCTGATGTGGGATCTCGGTATAAATCACTTTGGCAGCTGCAAGAATGCAATCTGTGCAAAATAAAGTAACTCATTTTCTCTGTCCACAGAGACAGCTAACATAGTCAGATGGCTCTGAGCTCATGCTGATTAATACTGTTTCCTCCTTTACTCTTCATTTCTATGCAGCTTTGTTGGCTTTTTTTCCCTTATTATTTTCCTTAGGGTGAGATGTTTTATTTCTTGCTCTTGTTGGTTATTTTATTTATTTTCAGGAATTTTATTTATTTATTTATTTGTTTTTTACAAGCAGGGATATTTTAATTTCCTTCAGTTACCAGGAGGCACGAGGGAAATGGAAGATTCAGATGAGATACTTTCCCTTCCCCCTCCAAACCGTCCGTGCAAAAAGACGAGTATTGTCAACGGATGCGATGGAGTGGCAAATGCAAAACGTCTTTTTCATTATGTAAGAGATTCTCACAGGAATATTAAGTGAGCAAGGGAGAAAGAAAGAATAAGCACCAGTAACAGGTAGGCAGGAAAGGTTCATAAAAGTCAGTTCAGTCATTTCTTGGTATACTACTGATCATTTTGCAAAGTGACTTGTGCTACTGTGGCAATCACTAAGTAGGAGAGAACTGAAAGGTCAAATGATGCAACACTTCAAGAAACCTGAACAATGCACTAAAAATGAATGAACTTACTGGTGGGTGGATGGGTGTGTGTGCATGCTGCCCTCTACTGGATAGAAGCAGAAGTGCTCAATAGTGTGTCATAAATCATCTTCAGCTAACAGATTCTCCTGTAGCTCAAGGGGAATGGGATGCTGTGATTGGGGCACATACGAATCCGAGTTCTCTGCTCACTGTAGTCATGCAACTGCAAAGCCGTAGAGGGCTATAGAATTATGATGATACTTTTAGGGCCAAATTCTTAAAGGTACAAATCTCAGTATTTACACATGGAAACTGCCATCCGTCTCAGCCACAAGTGCAACTGCAGGTGTAAGTGTCAGTGTGTATGAGCAAGTGGCCACATGCATCAGAGAATGTCCTAAAATTTTCAGGGCCCTAGATGAAGCATCTCTTCTGGGACGCTGAGCAGCCTCAGTGCTCCCACAGAAATCATTGGGAGCTCAATGGGCTCAGCACCTTGCAGGACTGGACCCTTAATTCTTAGTCTGATGCCCAGTGATTGGGGATAAGGGCAGGAGCAGAGAGAGAAAGAGAAAACGTTAATCTCATGAAAGTGTAATTTCTGCACAAATGTTTGTAGGTACCAAGACATCAATAAAGCTATGCCTCTGAGAAAATACAACCCCCACCCTCAGTTGCAAATGGTCTATTTCAGGCATTTAGTTAATGTGAATTACGCATCTTGGAAATTCATGTGTGTGTGTTAGACCTTGTGGGAGGACATTGTTTAACTGGCTGCTACACAATAAAAAAGCTCAAGGAGAAAAGAAGAAGAGTGGAGATGAAAGCACAGAGCTGAACTGTCGTGCAGTTTTTACACAGGTAGAACTGGGAAAGTGTATCCTGTATATGAAACTAGGAGTCACATACCTGGGCTCTATATTTGTCAAGGCACTTATATGGCCCCCTTAACCATAGCATCTGAGCACCTTACAACCTTTAATGTACTTATGATCCCAACACCTCCATGAGGTAAGGCAGTGCTACTATCCCCATATTACAGATCAGGAACTCAGGCACACAGAGACTGAGGTCACAGAGGAAACCCACGGCAGACCAGAGAATTGAACTCAGGACTCCCAAGCTAGCGTCCCAACCACTGGGCCATCCTTCCAGCCTATATGCACTGTAGAAGTCCAAAGTGTATGAGGCTCTGTGCATGCTGAAATGAACCTTCTCTCTATAAAGCAAGCCACATAACTGTTATGCAGCCCGCATTAGCGAAAGACCATTTCTTCCAGCTGCTCGATTTTTCCTGATTCTCTTTGGTGATCATTTCAAATAAGTTTTATTACATAGCCAATGGGGTTTATTTACATTCAATATTTGCACCTGCATTTGGGATCCTGACTTTGTGTAGGTGCCCTGTGATAAGGGGCATGGAAATCCAAAGAGAAGGGGAGAGTTTGGAAAACAGAAAATAGGGCAGATCCAGATCTGGACAGGGTGAATAAACACACAAAAATTCAACAAGTTTGAAGGTGGCAGATTGACAGCTTTGGAAACTGAAGTCCTCTATGCACAGAAGAAGTGCATGGACGGGAGCACTGAGAGCTTCCCACATACAGTATCCCCTCCAACCAATGTACCTCAACCCCGGGGCAGAGGGACCACCTCTAGGGAAAAGAGGGCAATTCATTCTTTATGGCCCATTCACCTCCTTGGCAGGCTGCCAAGAAATCATCAGATTGTGACCATATTTGTCACTATTGACCCAGGCTCGATTCAGACTGCTGAGTTAGCCATGACAGGCCCCACTGCCAATCTCCCCAGAGCCATCTAGTCTCCCAGAATTCATCCCCTTTCAAATAGGCTTGACAATCGTTCTGGTACTTACCATTACTATGTTGGCCAGATGAGCAGAAAGGAGTGCATAAACCCCTCCAGAGGAACCCACCACTGGCGCAGTCATGTCAGCTACTGATACCGCCAGGGAACCTTGGAAGAAGAAAACAGCTAATTACCATCTCCCCCTGATAGGAGAACTCTCCACCTGCACCCTCTTTTATGCATTAGGGGTAGGGTGACCAGATAGCAATTGTGAAAAAACAGGACAGGGGTGGGGGGCAATGGGTGCCTATACAAAAAAAAGTCCCAAAAAACGGGACTGTCCCTTTAAAAAAGGGACATCTGGTCACCCTAATTAGGGGCTGCAGTCAGCAATACTGGGGGAGGGGAATAAATTGACTAGAGAACCTGACTAAGCCCAGTAGCACTGCCAGGAAAGTGACACCTTTTCTTTTACATCGACTTTAAAACTACCATCAAATACATTTGATCAGGGTCAGCCACCGTGCTTGCAGCTGCTCTGTTTTGCTTTCTCTCTCTCTCTCGGTTTCTCTCTTTGGTTCTTAGTTGCTTTGTGTTCTGCTTTCTCTCTCTCTCTCACAACACACATATACACACCCCTCGGCAAAAGTTCCTGGGTGGGTTTATACACTCCTTTTGTCATAGGGGGGCTTATGCTGACAGTTATGTCAACTGAAGGATGACACCGCTGTCAATCTCAAACCTATAACCAGGTTTCACCCAGCTCTTAACAGTATCTTAAAATGTGTTCAGCAAAAGGAACCACAGCTTAGGTGAAAACAGTGAAGAACCATCAAAGAAATAAATGTGTCCCCCAGAGGATAAAATGGAAGTGATTTTAGTCCTGGCAAGATAAACATTTGCACAATGAGGAGGAACTGGAGACTCGTGACTGATCACTGGGTTCTGATTTAAGGGTGAACAAGTGCAGTTTATTACTTAGGAAGATGTAAGAGCAGGGAAGGGTAACAGTAACTCAGATGGTGACAAATGGAGGATCAGAATGGTGCACAGAAGTTTAAATCCAGGAGACGACAAAAGGATGAATCAGTTGCAGAGGAAACGGTTTCAAGAAGGCAGCAAGATGCAGTGGCTGGGGCACTGGATTGGCGGTCAAGAGGGTTTTTATTCCTGGATCTGCCAGCAACCCCCTGTGTGAGTTTCCGCTGTATAAAATGGGGTTCATGATGCTTGCCCACCTTGTAAAATGCCTGTAGACCTACAGAAGAGAAATGCTAACTATTCTTAATGCAAGCTTGACTCAGTAGAAATCACAGAACGATCAAGTGATCAACACCTCCTGCTCCAAACACGTGTGTAACCTCTTGATGGCCCATCCATGCAGGGCCAGGAGGAGAAAGGCCCAGCTAAAGCAGGGCACAGTCAAGTCACTTCCTCATTTTTATTGACTCTTCCTTTTCCAACATGGAAAGAGTTTTCTTCAGCCGGTTTAGGGCCTTTCCCTCTTGACCACTGGGCATCCTGCAGGGCTCAAAATATCTGTGCATCTGATCCAGTTCTCATTCATTGCTAGTATCACAATGACACCAAAAGACCACAGTTGAGGTTGGGGCCCCATTGCTCTAGGCACTGCACGCACACATGCAGATACTAAGAGACAGTCACTGCCTCAGAAAACTCACAATCTAAACAGATGAGACCCACAAAGTGGGGGGAGGGGAAACAGAGGCACAGAGAGCTGAAGTAACTTACACAATGTCAGTGGCAGAGCCAGGAATTGAACCCCCTGAGTCTCAGTCCAGTGCCCTGGGCCCTAGACCTCTCTGCCCTCCCAGCATGGGGAAGAGAACCAGAGCTCCAGAGTCAGTTTCTCAAGTCAGCTGAAGGGATGCTGGGGAGGAAGGATCTTCCTGTGGTTAAGAAAGAGAGATGGGTTCTGTTCTCAACTCTACAACTCACTTCTTGTGTGAGGCTGGGCAAGTCACTCTGGAGCAGGCTGTGGTTCTTCCAGCCACTGAGGTCCTGGGCTATCTAGTGTTGCTGGTGGCCCTGACTCCCCCACATCTTGCACTCTGGGCACCAAGCACCAGGTGCTGAAAGAAGGGCTCTCTGTCCTCTCTTACACATTCATGCAACAGAACCCACAATCTGACCATTGATATCCCCATGTCTCAGTTTGTCCAGCCTGTGAAATGGGTTTATACACCACCCCACAACACAGGGTGTTGGGAAGCTTACATCATTAATGTGTGGGTGGGTGGTTGGGACTTTGGAGAGCATCCCATGCAAAGCGTTCACATTGTTCTATAGACTGTAAACTCTTCAGAGCCAGGATTCTCTCTTTTCTGTGCTTGTACAGTGACTAGCACAGCAGGGCCCCATCCCGACGGGGGCCTTTGAGCGCTACCAAAATAGGCATATTTAATAATAATATAAACCATGCTAAACTTGTTGTGTTTTGGTGTCTTCCCCCAAAGCCAGCCTCAGGTTCTCACACCTCCCGAGCAGATCTGGGCTCAGTGCTGGGAGAAACCAGCTGACAAGTCTGCCAGGAAACCTGCTGGTTCATACCAAGCTTCACTCAGAGTTTGTCTGACATCTTCAGAGGGCCAGTGATGCTGAGCTTTCCAATACTCCTCTCGGGAATTAGGTTGTAGCTCCCTATGCTGGACGTCCTGGAGAACAGCAGTGGCTGGCTGCCTGGTAGTTAAACTCTCTTCCATTAACGACTTTGTTCTCTCTTTAATGAGAGCGGGGCCCAGCGCTTCCCTGGTGACGCTGGCTGCATGGGTTATTCAGCTGTGCAGCGGTTCTGGCAGCGTGCGGCCTGTACTGCATATTAACCTTGTTTACTCTAGCTGTTACCATCAATGTCATTTTGAAAGGAAAATTAGAGCCAGCACGGTTTGATTTTCCCATTAAGATGAAATAACTGGAAATCTACAGAGTTCCTTGCTTCATAAGTAAAATGAGACACGAAGTGCCAGTTGAGCCAAGCGTGACTCCAGCACTTTGAAAGCGGACAGAGCGCCAAGGCCTGAGGGGGTGGTCGTGCCTGGGACAGTGCACTTCACCAGCATTCCCTAGCTAATCCTCCATGCCGGAGTGAGGGAGGTCAGCATCCCGCCCATTGCGCCAAGACAGAAACGAAGACGAAGAGAACGCAGGCCAAACCCTGGCAAGTGCTGAGGGCCCTCAACACACCTTAGGTGAAACGCAGGAGGCGCTCTGCACCTCACAGAATCAGGACCAATGCGACTTGGGTTTGGCATTCAACACTCCTGTGCTCTGACAGACCATAACGCAACATCTTCAGTGCTGCAGTTCACTCTGCCATGCTGCTCGCTCACGCTTTCCTATGTCACGCTCACTTTCTGTGCACTTGTTTTCTGAAACAGCGGCTTGGACACAGACAGACACTTACATCCTCTCTCGGAACTCGCTCAAGCACTGACGGATCAAGGGAAAACACCAGTGGGATAGCTGCATTCAGGGTCCAATTCCCCTGTGCCAGGGGCCAGCAGAAAGCCTGCAAAGTGCACCCTTAAGCCCCAGGTGCTGCACCCAAGATGAGTTGAAATGACTAAAGTTGTTGCTTCAGATCACTATTTGATGCCAACAGGGCTGGCCTTATAGTTTACAGGACTCCAAACCGTTCTGAAGAGGGGAAATCGAGCCATGCATTACCAGAAGGGACCTACAAGCAAGTCAGCTCATTCCCTTTCTGGTGCCACTGTAGAAGGCGGCGATAGAGCCAGCATGTCAACTGGAGTTTTGAAATCCAGATGCAAGGTCTTTCTGAAGGTGCCCTCACTCAAACAGAAGTTATGGGCTTGATGCAGCAACACTGAGTGAAATCCTCTAGCCTAAGATCATGTCATGCTAGTCATGCAAGAAGTCAAACTAAATGGTTCCTTTCTGGCCTTAACACCTATGAATCTATGACTCTACATGAGCTGTACAGCTCATGTGGGATGAAAAACACTATGCCACAGCTTACTTTGCTCAGGTTCATGGCCAGCCCTGGATGCAAACACCACAAGGGGATTTTACAACACAAAGAAAAATAAAACATCCAGAGCCAGATGGGTTGGGATACTAGTAGGCAACAGAACAGCCCATCTGCTTCTCATCTTAGCACACTCCCCGGTTAGATTCCCACTGCACTAGCAGAGACAGGCTCAGTCAGAAAACAAGGACTCCCCGTCATCTTCTCCCTGTCAGGATGGCCAATAAAAGTTGTGTGTAAGCTAGAAATTTCAGAGAGCAAATTATGCTGGTACAATAATAATGATGTATCCAAAAGAAGACATGGTTTCTTCTATTCATCTCAATTAGAGGCAGGCTGGGTCAGGTTACAAAGCTCCTTTCACTGTGAATTTTAGAAAGTAATTGAAGAGATGGAGAGACAAGGCAGACAAAGCCTAAGCCAGCATCACGAGGCAAGGATACGAGAGATTATTCCTGATTAGCAAGGAAGAGGGAAAAACCACACAACGGCCGAAAGCAGCAGAGTCCTAAGAAGGACAAAACATTTCAAATGGACTTTTATGACTTTGCTAATTACTCTGCTAATATAGAGCTTGACTGTGGCTTAATCAAGTGCCAAGGCTCCATTGCACTATTCAAATAACATAGACAGGGTAATATTTTAAAAAGTACCTAAGTGACATAGGAACCTAAATCTCATTTTCAAAAGACTTGGGCCCCTAAGTGTCTTAGGCACCTTTGAAAATGTTAACTAAACCCCCACCCCCGATGGGACACAACTGGTGGATAAGGCAGACAAATGGAGTGGGCTGGGTTGGAAGGATGAGAGAACAATAAACTAAACAGTTTAGCAGAAGGCAACATTGCTGTGCCCCTGGGCCAGAGTATGAACTGTGACTCGGTGTACGTCTTCACTGCAAAAAATAAACGGTGCGTCAACTCAGGTTAACATAGCAGTGAAGACACAGCAACTCCGCTTTTAACATGGGTTAGCAGCTTGAGTTCAACCCTAAACTTCCCCACCGGCTTTAACTCGAGCTAAGACTGTTCCTAAGCATGCTGACTGTACTTAAATCAGAACTCAACAATGCATAAACCAGTAGCAGATGTCTTCTCCCCCATGCCAGCTCGGCTGCACTAGCTGGCTCACTGGGGGTGGGGCAGGCAGAGTCCAGCTT